AAACCCATTCAAACCTAAACACACACAACAAAACCCATTCAAACCTAAACACACACACACACACACACACACACACACACACACACACACACACACACATCAAACAAACAACAAAACATGGAGTCTCTTTTGTATTGGCTACCTACTGCTGAGCATGAGGCTGTTCCTGGAGTATGACTGATCTACCCAGTATCACTCCATTGGAGGAAGCTGATTTTACCTTTCCCAACAGGTATCAATTACAAATAGCTTCTTGGTTAGAGAAGCGATTGGATTTTGTGCCCACTTCCCCTTTTCTGTACGGTATTTTATCTGGCTTGAATTTGTGCAGGTCTAGTAAATGTTTACACAGCCTATGTGTGTTCCTATGTTGCTCAGCCCATGAAGTTGGGTGTGTAAGGAGGTAGAAAGATATATTGTGTTCCCCAAAATACTGTGTCTCCCAATAAAATTTACCTGAGAGATCAGGGAAATAGGGAAAGCCACAGCTAAACTCACCTTACCAACTCTGCACCTTCCAAAGAGCGAGCTACTTCCTGTCTACCCAAGCCGATAATATGCCTTGCTGTTCTGCCATGTGATTTGCTTTCTCTCTTCAGCTATACCACTTCCTCTTCTTGCCAAGCTCTGTCACTTCCTGTCTGTCTGTATATACCTCCAGACCTCCATGGTTAACTAGTGTTGGAATTTAAGGCATGTGTCACCACGCCTGGCTCTGTTCCCAGTGTGGCCTTGAACTCACATAGATTCAAACAGATCCCTGCCTCCCAAGTGATAAAACTAAAGGCTACCATTGCCTGACTCTTAAATAGTGGCTGGCTTTTTCCTCTGATCCTCAGGTAAATTTTATTTATTGGGAGACACAGTATATTGGGGGACACAAAACTTCACCACAGCATACCTTCAATCCCAGCACTTGAGAGGCAGGTTCCATTCATTCTTCTAGATATTCTGCTACTAATTCATTGTTACATACATTCCATTTCTCCACCTTTAAGGTCCCTTCCTTCTATTCTCATGACTCTCTTCTCAGTCACAGATACACGAACACACACTTTTAAATATGGGTTCCATATGTCAGAGAAAACATGTAGCATTTGTCCTTTCTGAGCCTAGCTTATTCTGCTTAACATAATGATTCTCAGTTGCATCTGTTTTCCAAACCTGTCATGATTTAATTTTCTTTCTAAAATTTCATAATGCACTATTTTTATTATCTATTCATTTGCTGAAAGACAACTAGACTTGGTCTATTGTCTGGTTATTCTGAATAGTACACCGATATACAAGGTGTGTAAGTGTCTATGGTGTATTGACTTAGAGCCCTTTGGTTAGAAACAAGAGCTGAATTATATGACAGCTCTACTTCTTAGTCTTTGGAGTAAACTTAAAGCTGTTTTCCAAAGTGGCTGTACCAGCTTATGTTCTCAGCAGCAGGGTGCGGGTTCCCTTCTCCTGCTAGCATCTGCCATTTAGTTTTGGCAACATTTTGAATAAGACAGGAATTTGAGCAGCTTTAATATGCATCTCTCTGATAGTTTAGGGCTCTGAACATTTGACAGCGACTTGTTGGCTGTGTGTATGTATAATTCCCTTGGAAAACTGTCTGCTCCTTTCATTAGCTCATTACTTTTGTTTAAATCTTCATTCGACATTTACTACTGAGACTGAATGGAAATATTTTCTCTGTATCATAATCTAACAATCAAGACTCACTGTAAGAATTTTGTTTAAATTTAAGAGCCAGCACATAGTTACCACCTAGGCCTAACTGAAACAAAACTTTTTTTTTTTAACCCATGAATGCTTAGCATTATCAGATAAAAGTTCTCATTTTGAAGATCATTTCAAAACACAAATTTTAATATTTTGAAAATGCTGGTAGTTTTGTAAAATAATTCCTTGATCTACTAATCATTTACAACCTACAATTTGAATAGCACTAGTGTATTTAAAGTACATATTAAATAAAGAGTATTATAATATGAGTCAGTACTAGGGCCATTCAAATATTTACACTTTTTATATTATCTATGTTTTCTGAAGGCTCTACTTTGAAAAACAATTTGAGTGTGTATGACTTATATATATATATATATATATATATATATATATGTATATATACATATACATGTACATGTATACGTATACATATATATATATATATATATATATATATATAGAGAGAGAGAGAGAGAGAGAGAGAGAGAGACAGACAGACAGACAGACATAGAGACAGAGAGGAAGACATTCACACAAAAAACAGTATAGTCTGAAAGTATAGGTTTCCCTTTTCCTAACCTTAGTACTTCAAAAGCTTAACATTTGAGAGATTTAAACTCTGCTTTCATCCTGTTTAAAGGCTTCCTTCTGATGAAGAATTTGAGCATTCAGGCCTAGATAAGATGCCTTTCTTCACTAAAACTCTACAACACAAATTATTCATTTCATTGATTTAATACTTATAATGCACTTCTTATCACTGCACATATCTGTTAAAATAGAATTTTAAGACAAGGGAGAGTGAGTGCTGTGTAGTCCTTCCCTTTGCATATCTTATTGTATAGAAATAATTTATGAGATACTAAACACCTAGTGGACCCTTGCTTTGTGCAAAATCTCTAACATTTGCTGCTTCTTGGCGGCGATGTCGTTTGATTGTAGAGTACTTGCCTAGCATGATTAAAGCCATGGGCTCAATTCCTAGCTCCAAATAAAAGAAAAAAAGGAAATAAATTTCCTTTGATTTCTGAGTTCCTGGGTATTTCCTGGGCCAGTCTGTTAGTATAATTCAAAGTCAATTAAAACCAAATTAGCCAGTATTTTTCAGAACAACAATAAAGTGTGTGTGTGTGTGTGTGTGTGTGTTTGTGTGTGTTGTCAATCATTTTTTGTGGGAGGATAACTAGTCCCACTGGCCTACTAAAAGTTATGTGAAGCCAGGAGGTGTGTCTTGAACTTTTAATCCCAGCACCCAGAAGACCAAGGCAGACAGATCTCTGAGTTCAAAGCCAGCCTGGTGTACAGAGCAAGTTTCAGAACAGCCAGTGCTACACAGGGAAACTTTGTCTCTAAAAACAAACAGACTAACAAACAGCACAAAACCAAACCCAACCCACAAAACCAAACAAAAAAAAACCCAAAAGTACAGGAAGGCCTTTGGTAAGGCCCTGTTATAACCCAATACTCTGAACATCACTCACCTTTTGGGCAAATATCAGTGCAAGGCTTACACATTTTAATCCCATTTTCTTCTACTTCCATCTTGGAACTGGGACAAGCACGCACACAAGAACTGGAATCTACCACAAAGTTATCTGATTAAAAAAAAAAAGTCAAATAAACAATAATGTTAATGTTAAACAATCAAGTATGAAAGAAGATAGTTTACAATTTGAAAATAGCTAGCATTATTGATAATGTATATGTCTCTCTAAAACACATCCCCTCTAATACCCCAACCCAAAACATCATCGCCAATGCTCACATTCCATTCCAAGAACATGAGAATGAGTCTCTGCTTGACTACAGCTCCACATTCCAAATTGTCCCCAAGATAGAGCAATCTCTTTTATAGATTTAGGAAACTACATTACATTTAGTTTGTGTTTCTCAATAGTTCCACTTCATTTCATGACATTATGCAAGTTGGAAGTCTAAAATACTTCAAGTTCATGAAGCACAAATGAAGCTTACATTAAACTTCCTTGGATCAAGAGAGTGCACTTCAAATCCAAGAGGAAATGTTAAAAATGCATCCAGTGTTTTATTGGCATGCCACCAAACCTTTCTGTTACATAGCGAAAATTTGAAAGATATCACTTTAGCAAAGGTATACATTTAGACAAGGGATAGCTTATTATTTAGACTTGGTGACATTCTTAGGAAACCAGCAATATATGAGATGCCAGAACTTTCTCCTTGAAAAACAGAATAAATTACTGCACCTAGAGCTATCAGAAATAGAGGGACAACATGATGTTTGCAAGAACAGTCTGGTTTGGAATGCAGCAACCTCCCCTGAATACTTGTCTGGACCTATGTATAATCCTATCAAAGATTCCAAACAGGAAGCCTGTCCAAAGCAGAAGAGACATATTTCATCTATGGTAGGAGCAAATGCCATGGAGAGTTATGAAGTTCTACCTAGAAAAACCTAACAGAGACCTCTAAGAGAGCCAAGGCATACTGTCTAAGGCACAGGATTGTTTACCAATTAGCAAACAGCTCCTGTAATGCTGTCTGGACCTGAAGGAGACAGAGAACCTAATCATGGGTCAGGGTTGATTTATGCTCAGCATTGCCATAATCAGTAATGCTTGAAGGAGGGCACTCAGACAATGTAGTGGAAGAAATCAAGGCAGATACACAGCAAAGTCTTCTAATGGGACATTTTCTAGGTAGTTACTAACAACCCAGTCCTTTGTATGGAGAAAAGAGTGACTCAAGAGAACTAGACTGCTCTGTGAGAAGAAAGATTGGAATTTCTGGAAGGCACAGGATCGAAGGTAGAAGAATGGTATGGTTAGTCATCTGCAATGGTCCCTATAATATCATATCTTAAACACTAGTCCTACAGATTCTGCTTGTCCCTGTGGCCCCTTTCAGAGGTAGGCACTGTGGGTTTGAAGGCGATTATTGTTAGAAGGCTCTGGAAGATCACAAAAGCTCTGGTTCTTACCTGCCTCAGGGCCACTCTCAATGAAAGGGAAGTCTTTGCCACAAGTTCCACTACCATGCATTAGATCCCTCCCCTGCTTTATGAGGGACTGAAATCTCTGGCGGCATGTGACAAAAATTAACCTTTTCCCTCTTATGTTGTTTCTTTTAGGTGTTTTAATCACAGAGACACGAAAGTGACTAACACAAGAGGCATACACAATTCACTGGGGTAGACACACATAGAAAATGTTTTGTAGCATGCACAATTCATCAGGGTAGACACATGTGGAAAATGTTTTGGATTGCAAGTTTATATCTGTCACAGAACACCCACCACAAAGGACTCTGTGAAGGATTCACCGAATCCTGACCCTTTTTTCTTTTCTTCAACAGGTTGAGTTTTTAGATTTCAGAATGCTGAACTGGGGAGTGTAGACCTGTGTTTAGAAGCTAAATGACCTTGTTCCCAAAGATAGTTGTAGTTTGCCAAACTGAGTACAGTGAGCAGTCCACAGATGGTCTTAGTATTATAAATTAAAAGCAATGAAGTACCTTCAACTGATCAAAATATGAATATTCCTGCTGTCATATTTATATTCTATAGACTGTAAAGCCTCCACTCAAATGAGTACATAAGTTAATGAAGTTATTAACTTTTAAAATTTTTAAATAAATTACTTAGACTTTTCAATAGGTGAAAATCCCATTGGTCACTAAAAGCAACAAATACCATATGTATATATATATGATATATATGTGTATATATATGATCACATATAATATTTAATATGTGATCAAAGTAATGGTTTTCTTGAATTGTTAGCATTTGTTATCAGTTTGCTAAATACCACTTAATGATCTTCATACCTATTTAATTATCCTGGCATATATTCTAGCATAAACAATCACTAATAAATATAGGCATAAACCCAACTATGTCACTATCTGACCTTGTTTATCATACACATTGCTGTCAACAATGATCTCTTCTGAGAAACAGCATCACACATTGAAAACAAAGGTACAGAGAAAATACTAAGTGCTTAGGAATCATAAGCCACCACTCTAACCTCAAGCCTGGTATGACCTCATATGACTCCAAACTAATCACTTAAATATGTTGATCCTTACTTTCCTCTTCTTGTGAAATTTAAATGGCAGGACCCACAGCCAATGTAACATAATTTACTACTTTTATTATTCAAGTTTCAAATGAAAATGATTATACATGAAACCTCTAATTTTTTTTTCATGTTGAGCTTTGGTTATTTGATGTATCTTAGTGTGTTACTTACGTGGGCATTTTTTAACACAGAATGCTCCATATGTGTACTTTGCATTGAAGTTGTGTTCCAGCTGGAAGGTGGTTGGATTGTAGACAAATGTTTGGGGACATTGAGTAACACAGGCTCCACTGTCATTGAAGTTCATGCAAGCCTGCAACACAGCAGATACATTTATAAATAACCTTCCTATAAACTTGTCAATAAAGCACTGCTATCACGATTTAATGAAAGGTGCTATATTTCATATATTTCAATGTTATAAATTCTGCCCAAATTTATAATTTTGAAGTCGTTGTGTCTTCAAGTTTTCATCAACTTCTCACCCTCTCTGTGTCAGTAAATAAATTACCATCTCTGATTACTGGTCTTCACATAGAGTAGAACATATCAACACAGTTTTAAACTGAGGATTGGTTGATAATGTTGAATATAGATGAATTTGACAGATTATTTGAGTTCACACTGATTACACATACTTATGTTTAATCTTTACAGTAGGTTTATATCTCCAGTTCCATAGATAAGAATTTATTTGGAGAGGGTGACAGGCAAACTCATGCCTTGTGTGTGTCATGTTTAGTTCAAGTATCTACGGGAGGAACATAATGATGGTCATTTATTTACCAGGACCTAAGGAAAAGCTGGGGCAGGAGATTAACAAAGTATCATGGTTATAGGAGTTAAAATATGAAGAGCTGGTGAGCTATTATTAGTCTGTGCTTAAATAAAATGATATAATTTTTCATAATGGATATGTCATTTACTGTAGCCACCATATTCAAAAGGCATTTAACTTTTGCTTAACATAAATTTGTTTTCAGATGAGTTTTCATTAATATTTTCAAATTCTCTTGAGAAGAATTGAAAAACATTTTCCTACCTGAGAGTTGTGCTTTTGATATCACAAAAAAGCACAAATAAACATTTGATGAGCAAACATATGGACAACCTAACTCTTTTAATTAAGAAATGAAGCTTTCCTATGAATAACTGAGGCCTCATAAAAGAGTTCACATGAACCAAAGCTCTGTTTTACATTTCATTATGAATTGTCATATGGTTATTAATAAGAATTAATTTATTCTGTTTCCTCGCAACATTTGCATCATCAATTGTTGTTTTAGCAAACACTTTATCACAACATGACAATTCTCTGATGATGGTCTACAAGGTACATAATCAGAAAGAGACTCACTGATGATACATTATTCACTGAGATGACACTTTATCGGAAGACTCTATTAAAAAGCAATCTAGAAAACTCAGTAAGTTTTAATTTATGACCATGAAACATCGTGTGTTCTTATAATTGAATTACTAACACACTTTCTGCACTGATATGCAATGTACATAGGCTGATTTGGAACAAGGGGATATAAGTCAGAGGAATGGAGCAAATTTACCTTCCAGTTAGCACACAAGCACGATGTAACATATACCAAAGCCTCAATCTGGCATTCATCAACATTCTGTATTAAATGCCAAAGCAGGATCACTGGACCATTCCAATATACTAATGAAATGAGAGCTCTCGAGAGCACCTGGTACTGCTTATCACAATAATACAAGAGAAAAGGCACAGTGCCACATCCTACAGGGAGAGGTTTTCCTACTGTTCCCCACTGTGCTGGCTTTGGAATCATTAATGCAACACCTGCAATGTGCAGTGTCTTCAAAATCAAGCCTGGTCCTCTCCTGTCTGTGCTGATGACAGAAAAGAAAAGGCTCTCAGTTTGGCTGCCAAGGCTCTCCCCTAGATGTGTAACATGTAGAAGCCCCTCTATTCTTTGTTTGGATTCAGTTTCACCAGACTTAGTTTTGTGTCACGGTAGAATCCTAGTAGACTCATTAAAGCTCCTTAGAATTTTTAAGAGTCAAGTAGTAACTAGCTACAGCCTTAGTGCTCTAATTTCTATTTTGTTAACTGGATGAAGATCCGGTTCTTAAAAATTTCACTTTTAATATGTGTTTGGTGGAACAAAATTAATTTCTAATATGTGTTTGTTAGATTTTTGAGAAGTGGACAAATAATTTGTTGTGCTCATTTAGAAAATGAAACAGTGTACTGTTTATTATTCTAGATTAAAATTAGCATTCTGTTTTATGAACTTGAGTAAATTATCATTAAAAAGATATATATATATATATATATATATATATATATATATATATATATATTCTCCAAGGAACAAAAATTTATATCAAGAATACAATATCAAATGTAATTTAAAATTTTTCAACAAAGCTATAAATGTTAGTTTTATTGAAATAAAAATATCCTCTTCAAAAATACTAGCCATACAGTTTATCACATAAATAGATTTAGATATGCATTTATTTTAAATATAGAACAATATTAGTTTGTTAATAGTGCAAACTGGAAAATATTTAAATACATAAATTTCTCTGACATAACCTTGAAATTGATATTCAGGAAGCAAGCTGTCCTCACTCATGGGACTCAATAATGCAAAAACACAAAGTGGTAAATAAGCACTGAATATGTGCAAATGATTTTCTCAGTTTCTGAAAGATATCCCAGCATGTTCTCATTCGTGTTCTTCAATACCCTCATGTCACATATAAATTATATCAGAAAGGCAGAATCGATCTAACTGGTACAAATAATTAATTCTGTTTAATCAATAGTCAACTCAGAGGTAGAATGCCTTTTACAATAATAATATGACCAAACTTAATCTTAATATAACCCAGTGTTAAATATTCAATGTGACTCTGATTCAGACATAAGGAGAAGGAGGGGGGGAGATCCACAAACATACAAAGCAGTCAGTGTCCTTTGGTCCTGAGCAGCCTCCAGCACATTCTCGATGGCAGCAGTCACTAACGTAGGGTCCATAGCACCTGCCGTCACATTGTTCAGCACACACAGTCCTTGTCACTGTAGAAGACAGAGATAGGGCCTCAATTAAAGCCATCCACCCACAGATCTATGTTGGTAACAACAAAGCATGTGTTCTGGAACAGCAATTTATTCCATCTAATATTGATTAATTCGGGAAACCTTTAATGAATTAAGTCTGTAATTAAAAGCAAATTACTGTACAAAAGCTTCATTTATATGTGTATATATATATACATATTTATTTATATATAACATTATTTTGTGTCCACCAAATAGGTATAAAGCCTTACAAAAATCATTGCATGTATTTATTAGGTTTGGGAATAATGGAATGAACAATGAAGTGGCTAAACCGGAGTACAGGAAGTCTTTCTGAGAAAGTGCCCTCAACACTCATTTAAGATGCTTAGCACTCAACAGATGGGGAAATACATTTTTACTTGAAATCACATTATATGTTACATGAAAAAAGGCTGGGATAGAAGAAAGGAGGGAAGAAGGAAAGAGAGAGGGAGGCAGAGAGGGAGAAAGGGAAGGAAGGAAAGTAGAAAGGAAGGAAAGAAGGAAGGGAGGGAGGGAAGAAGGGAGGGAGGGAGGGAGGGAGGGTGAAAACAACAAATTCTTTCACTGGTCTTTTCTTGCTCTTCAATCTAATCCAAAGCATTGAATCATTGCATAATTTATTCACAGCAATGCACAGATGGGGTATCAAAATTATAGTAAAGAGACACACTCTGCTTATTTCAATTACTATAGAGACACACATCCCAAGTACTTTCTCAGTATGAATACTACCAAGTATATGCAGCATATCACTCCATGGCTCCTTTATTTACAGTTTTGCCTGGTGTCTTGGTTATCATTCCTTGAACTGAGCTGTTTAGACACCACTTCTACCAGAGACTATATTAATTTTCATCACAATCAATGAAACGCTGCTATCTGACCAATGGCTCACCTAGAAACTAAACATGGGTCTCATATTTCTCTTTCCCATATCCCTTCTGATACCAGAGGAAAATCACCAAGCAATATCAATTCTGTTTCATTAAATTTGTATTACCTTCCTGGCTCTATGCTAGTTTATGTATATCTATAAAGTTTTGCATATCCTTGTAAAGAGGACTTCTTATTGTTCCTCTCCATGAATCCTCAATGGTGCTCTGAAGAAATAGTTTAAAAGGGGAATCTGTAGTTGGTATGTAAAATGAATAGAAATTCCAATAATAATAATAATAATAATAATAATAATAATAATATAGAAGCCATTGCTCAGTTCGGTGTTGATTCACAGTATAAAATATTTGCCACCCCTGTACCAGTGGATTAAATCCTTAGAAAAAATGAAGACTCCTCCATGAATTTATGGAAATTTCTACCTCCTCTGGAGTCACTCACCACTGCCCATGTTTCTCATATGTGGCAGAACAGGCACTCATTCACACTGCTCCCTGAAGATTGATTCTCATTGTGTTTCTCTATGGCATTTATTTACCTTCCAAGTGCTCCTATCTTCTCTGATGAGTAATCCTTATTTTGAACCCTTACTAGGCATGTCTCCAAGCTGAATTTCTCTATTACTCTTGTTCCTGGGTAGAAGATAATGTTCATATAGAAGTCCAGGTGGCTGGAGCCTCGGCTCATTCCAAACTCTACTATACTATATCTCATGTTCTCATCCCAACAAGAGGACTAGAATGACTACTTGTCCTACAGGATTAGAGACAAACCAGAGACACAAGTGTAAAGTGCTTAGCATGGCGAATGTGAGTAATGCTGTGTAAGTGCATTACACAGTGTTATTGCCTTCTCTACAACATTTGTGTTGACTGGGTTAGCTTATTCTGCCTGATCAAATGAGGAGTTGGTTGGCTTTCCCTAAATCACTAAAGTATTTATTTCCAGGCACAAGGACAATATTTAGCCCTTGGTACACAATAGTACACAACAACTTCTTTATTGAGTAAGATGTGAGAAATTGCCAATCTAAAGAAAACATCTTCTAGATGCTAGACCACTTCTTGGAAAGATAAAATGATGTAGGAGGCTAACAAAGTATCTCTTGGAGAAAAGTGAGTAAATTGCTAAAGAACAAAAATTACCATTAGCATTTATTCCTAGATTTTTAAAGATCTTAAATTCTGTGGCTGATTGTTTTCTGATGCTGTAGTTTTACTTGTTTCTGTTTCCATGTGAATTGGTGACTATCCTCAGTAGATTATATATAATGTTGACATATGTAGCCTTTCATAATGAACACAATCACATTACTTACTCTATAGTAAAATAAATACAAGTTCCATATAATTTAAGTTAAAACAGAGCTAGGCCTCATGATCTGTAGTGACTTTAATTTGGAACATATAGTCACAGTTTGTTGTTGTTGTTTGTTTTGTTTTGTTTTGTTTTTTTCAAGGCAGGTTTTCTCTGTATAATAGCGCTAGGTGTTCGAGAATTGCTTTGTAGACCAGACTGACCTTAAATTCACAGAGATCTGCCTGTCTCTGCCTCTGGAGTACTGGGATGAAAAGCATGTGTCACCACGCCCAGCTCCCATAGTATTTTTTCTCATAAATGTATAGAAGATTTTGTTTGTTCTTGGCAGTGGTAGGGATTGTTAGGTGCATTCTGGCATAACAACACAATGCCTGTATACTTTGAACAGTTTGATCATCATTTCTCAGTGATGTCTCCTCCTAATACCTGTATTTAATCTTTCTCAAATACCTGATTCCTAAAGATTTCCCTATACTTTCTCCCTTTCCTTGACCCTCTCTTTGTCTTTTTCAATTTTACTCTTACTTTGCTTAATATTTTCTCCTGCCTTCCATATTTTCTGTCATCTAACACCATACAACATACTTTCCAATCATTTGTTATATTTCTTGGTTTGTGGTTAATTCCTTTTTTTAGAACTGTAATTGATATTCATATACTTTTAAATTTATATAATATATAGGTATATATAATATATGTCATAGATATATGTCCCCAAATTACTTTTAACTTCTAGCTCTTAATTATCATATATTACGCTTATATTATTCCTTCTAACAATTAACTAAATCCTATATTTACTTATATGTACAAGTTACTAATTCATACTACAAACTGCAAAATCTTTTCATACATAGCTTTATAAAGAATGTATCTAAATATTTATTTTCCATTCACAGATGGAATAAAGTTCTTTCAATGGACTAAAAGTAATTAATTAAAATACCAGATATATGTTAAATAAGCAAAATACTTCATTTCAACTAAGTCATCAAAGAGCATACCATTACTTTGTTTCTAGGTAACAAACATTGCTCAGCTCTAATTCAGAAACACAAAGCCCAGACCAAACATGTCATATAAGCAACATCATATTGAATTCCAGACACATATATCCAAAGTTAATTTTTATTTATAACTGTCTTGATTAATGGTAATAAACAAAATGTTTCTTTTTCTCTTTATTTCCTTTGGGCTTCCCTGGTAAGTGAGGGAATTAATGTAGAAAACATTAAAACAATAAGATTACTAACTCACAATTTTTAAAAATAGTATTAAATAGTTCCATCAACATCTTTACTCTCGGCCAGGCTGTGGTAGCACACATCTTTAATCCCAGCACTCAGGAGGCTGAGGCAGGCAGATCTCTGTGTGTTTGAGGCCAGCCTGGTCTACAGAGGGAGATCCAAGACAAGCGCCAAAGCTACACAGAGAAAATCTGTCTAAAAAAAATCCTTACTCTCACCGAGAACTGTAATTACACATGAAAATAACATGCTAAAATTTGTAAACTTCGTAACAGTGATTATTCTATGAAACGGTTAAACATATGTTTTAAATTATTTCATTATCTATAATGAATAAAGTTTAAATTTTTCAAAGTCACACTAGCTTCCATATTTATGGCCAAATATCTCATAATTTTTTGGAACATTTTTATGTTTTATATTCCATTCAATTTCAGGGAAATACAAAGAAACATCCACCTAAATTTTTATTCAAATACAAATCCTTAAAATAAAAGAAAAAAGAAAAAAATCTGCTCTATGCAAGGAAACCCTCCAGGAACTGCTAGTCCTGCACGGGATCTGTGGAAAGCAAACCATCAAGATCTTCCTTGAGAATTCCTTCAAAGACATTGATCAAGTGTTCCAACGGAATCAGGGACTAATTATAAACAAAGCAAGAGGGATTCTATCAAAAGCAATCTACAGGCATCCTCAGATCGCTGCTCAGCTCTGCTTCAGGATATTTTCAATGCTCTAGAAGAAGATGTAAAGTTGGGGATTTATTCTAAACTGGGGGTGGGGGTAGTGTGGATAGTCTTCTTTATGCAGGAGATAGATGAGTTGAAGAAAAAGTACTATGATGAACCCGGAGAAGGGGTTAAGGCCGAGGAACTCCGCGGAAAGTTTTGGCATCTAAAGAGGATGTAACTGATGCAGTTCTGTAGACAGAACAGGAAAAGAAAAGGATATTGAAGTGGGAGATGTAAAAGCTGAAGCTGCACAGGCTACAGCAAAACGCTGAAGGAAATGTAAATGACGCATGGGCGGTTGATGAAAGGGAAAGATAAGAGGTACCAGAGGATTGTGAAATCATCCACTGAGAACATGGAGAAGGAACAGGCCCAGCTGAGGGGGGAGCAACAAAGGACCAATGCACACAAACTTTAGGAAGAGGCCCAATCACGAAATGAAGGATTGGAGCAGGAGAACAAAAGACTTCAAGATGAGGCAACGACTCACAGAAACAAAGCAGGAATAGATCAGCAGAGAAGCTACTACCTGCTGAAAGAAAAGCAGAGTGCTCCGTTAGGAGCCAAAGCAGAGGTGCATAGGGGGTAGAATTTGGAACCCATGCCATTCGTGCATCACAGGAGAAAATAAAATCCACAAAGGTGTGCAGTGCAATCGTTGAAATCAGGTTTATCTTCCTATAAGATTGTGTACCAAGAATGCCACTGAGGTCCCCACTATCGGAGTTGTCTCAGCATCATTGCTCAGAAGACTATTGTTTTCCCAGATGCTCTCCAGGGA